GGATCCTTGAACCCTCCAATCTATAGCTGGTTGGTCAGAGCACAGGTGACAACCTAGACTTGCTATTGGTGTCTGAAGTGGGAGGGGCCAGTCTTATAGGTGTGAGCCCTTCACCCGTAGGATCTGACCCTGTCTCTAGGTAGATATTATCAGAACTGAGTTAATTGCTTGGTAGTGTGGGAAAAAAACACATCAGAATTCATGTCAGAATCTGAATTGGTATCAGAATTGTAGTAGGGAAGGGCCCCTCCCTTTACAAAGAGACCAGGAACCAGGGAAGGCAGTCCAGAAGGTTCTGTGCCCTACTCCCCATCTGCACTCTTCTTTGGCTGGCTGCTACTTTACAGAGCGAGGGAGGCAGAAGGAATGTTCAGGTCCTGTGTGGGTCTAATAGGAAGAGGGAACCCATGGGTGGGGTGGGGGGCTCTGAGAAGGGCCTCTCACAGCACTCTGTCTTGGAGAAGAGAACCGTGCTACTCAACGTGTGCCCCACAGACTGGTGCCAGCCTACCTGCTGATTGTCACCAGTCCATAAGAAGAACTTGAGAGGAAGCATTTAGAAGTACTAAAGCAATATGCCAGAACAATTTAAATTATGATGAATATAATAATAGTTTTTTAAGAAACTGAACCTATATTTTGTGTGTCTTCCCTTCTCCGCTCCCTCATTACATTTTGATATTTTACAAGAGTATTAGTCTGCAGGGGTTTGGAAACAAAGCAAGAAACAGGTGTGTCATGATAGGTAGTTTGAGAAGCACTGGAAATGTCTAGTTGCACAGCAAGTTGAGCATACTAAAGGAAACCTTCCCTTGAAGCCATATCCCTTCTGGTCACGCCTTCTGTCCATCCAACATGTCACTGAAGTCTGGCCTCCACCCCACCCCCACTTCCGCCTCACTCAGATCTCTCTTCCCAGCATTTGATAGAGTCAATCTCTTGCCTCCTTCACAGAGGCCTCTATTCTTGGCCTTCCTATCGCAGTACTTCCTTGTTCTCCTAGAAATTTCTTTTTTTTTTTTTAATTGTGGCAAAATATATTCAACATAGAATTGACCATCTTAACTATTTTTAAGTGCCACAGTTCAGTAGTGTCAAGTACATTCATGTTGTGGTGCAGCCATCACCACCATCATCTCCAGAACATTTTTCGTTTTCCCAAACTGAAATTCTATCCATTAAACACTAGCTCCCTTTCTCCCTTCTCCAGCCCAGGCAACCACCATTCTACTTCCTGTCTCTCTGAATTTGACTTGACTCTAGTTTCCTCATACAAGTGCAGTCATACTGCATTAGGTTTTTTGTGACTGCCTTATTTACTTAGGATGATGACCTTGAGGTTCATCCATATTGTAGCATGTGTCAGAATTTCCTTCCTTCTTAAGGCTGAATAATATCCCATGGTATGTATAGGCCACGTTGTATTCATCTGGGAGTTTTCTTTGTTTCCTTGAAGTGTTCCCCTCCCTGTCTGGGCCCTCAGCACCCCACCCGGGCCCACTCCGTGCTTCCTCCGTGTCCCGTCCCTGGAGGATCTTGCCTCAGTTCTCCCCACGACCTTTAGGTCCGCGTCTCTCACATCTGTCTCTCTCCAGCCAGATTTTTCTCTGAGATACAGACCTGCCCAGCCTACTTAAATGTCACATAGACGTGAAAACTAAATGTTTGCCAATCTGAGCTCTTCTTGCTTAAGCCTCCCGTATTCCTGTCTCCTGTGTCTGAATGGTGACCACCGTATATCTACTCAGTAACCCAAGCTGGTGACCTGGAATCACCTTGCATTCCTCCACCTTGCTGTGTCCCACAGTCAATCCATCATCAAGTCTTACTCAGAAATCCTGGTGTTTCCTCAGACCTGTTCCTTCCTCTCCACATTCACCACCATTGCCTGAGTTCAGGCCCTTATCAGCTCTCAGCTGGATGCCCTGGGAGCCTCCGCTCTGACATAACCAGCCTCCGGACCAGCGCCCCTCTTGTTCATCTGCTTCTGTACCTGTCTGTTTAAAACCCGTCAGGTGGCCCATGGGGCAAAGTCCACACATCCGAGCCCTCTCTCCTTGGTCTGGCCCCTCTCTGTCATCATGTGGCCTGTCCCTCGCTGAGCCTCTGCTGCTGATTCTGACACACAGCCTACCCTTTGCTCCTGCTGAGCCCTGTGCCTGTATGGCCTTTTCACCCTTTGCCTTCACCATTCCCCATGCACCGGCTCAACTCCTGCTCCTCTTAGGCAGGATGACTTCTCTGGTCCCCAGAGCAGCCTGGGTGCACTTCCTCAGCCCCCATCAATGCCCGGGGCGCATTACAGCGATCTCTTCACATGTCTCTCCTATTAGACTCGTAACTCCCTCAGGGAGAGATTTACATCCATATGTTGCTTAGACTCTCATCCTGCCGTAAATTCAAATACTGTCCTCTTTCCGGTTTGAGTCAGGGCTGTGATCAGGAGAGAGGGTGATGCTGTCTCATGAATGATGGTTCCCGTCTGAGGAGCGAACTTCAGGTTACGCTCATGTCTCTCCCTTTCTCTGTGGCCTAAGGGGTTTTATGTAACAGAGTTAAAGCCTAAAGATACCAATTCTCCTTTTCCACCCCCAAGTGGAGATTTCACTGGAAGAGTAGTCTGAGGGGTAAGGCAGAAAGAGGTGAAAATACTAGGTATATTAGATGATTCTTTACTGATTAAAGGATGCAGCTTAAATATGAGTCCAATATGAGCTTTTGAGTAGGTTCCCCAGAACTAAATACCTCTGCCCCCCTGCAAGGCAGAGCTCCCTGTTTGCAGGCCTTGTGTTTCGTGGCAATGCAGAATTTCAGGGTCCTAAAGAAAGAGGCTTAGATCTAGGGCTGCAGATGGGTGTCTCCTCTGAATCAGATATGTGTCCCCGTCTGCCAGGCTTCCTCCTGCAGAGATGGGGCTGCTTCCAGGAACCCCGAGGTACGGATGAGAGAATGCCAGCCTGCTAGCGCGTAGGCCATAGAAAGGAGTAACCAAGGGGGGCTGAGCTGGCCGCTTCCCCCTAGTCCCGCCAACCAGATAAGGTGCTTCTCCTCTTTCGGGGGAGTGGGGAGGTGAAGAGGGGAGGCAGTACATGCCCATAGCTTAGTTTCCCTCACTTTAAAGAAAGGTGAGGAAGGGTGGTCATTATTTGTCCGGAATCGACAGGGCTCGCTAACCTGGGTGGGCGTCTCCCAGTCACACCTGTTTCCTTGCTCCCTCCTGGCTTTTTCCTCAGGATGGTGCCACGACTCCACTCCAGACCTGTCAGTGCTTAGCCCCCAGATTCTGTGCCTTCTGTGAGCTCAATCCTGTTTTTGAATCATCCTGGCAACAGGGACTCATGTGACATCTGCACTTTTTTTCTTGCAACACATTCTAAGCACTGTTAGGTGCAGATTTTCTCATCACTTACATATGTCCTGTTGATTTGGGGACAAAACCTTATGCCCTTCGTTCTCTTGTGTATTATTACCGACCAACCTTTCCTGAAATGGGCTAAGCCCTAGTAGCTGGGAAGAGCTGTAGGCTGGCGCATATTGAAAACTTCTGGGTATTCGAGGGTCTGAAAGGGAAGCCCTTTTAGGTTGTAGAGGCAGACTAGAGGGCGATCCTTTCATATTGTGGTGGAGGAAAGTTAGCAGCTCAGCTTTAGGCATCGTCAGAATAAGGGATTTGTGTAAGATGTTCAAGTGGAGTGACCTTCCAGCCATTGAGAAAGTGCTGAGGCTGCAATGGGAGCGTTGGCCTATGTCCTCGCAGCAACCAAAATCCTCAGCGGTCACAAACTCCCAAGGGAGTGAGTGGAGCGTGTTCAAAGGAAGATTAGGATGAAGCCTTCAGCAACAGCAGCTCCCCGGATACCTGACCTCAGTTTACACTCAGTTTTGGACATTTCTGTTTGGAATATCAATGGTGGGGTTGGAGGCAGACCGCTGGACCCCGCAGCGATGTGGGAAGAAGACTCCATGCTTTCTGATGGCTTTCTTCCTTGTTCTCTCCTCAGAGCTTTGCACCTCAGGAGGCCAGGAGGCCCCCCACACGTCAAACTGGCCATTGAGTGGGATAGCTGTGTCAAGGAGCGGTGAGTTCAACAGAATTTGGCTCTGGCAGGGGCGAGACAGGGCCTGCCTGTGCAAAGAAAGCTCCCTGTGCCCAGTTTTCCCCAATATGACTATGAGGCAGGATGCGTACCTCCTTGATGCCGTGTGATCCATGCTTCTGAGAAACCCAAACAACAATTGTCTGTATATAAACAACAATGATAGCACAGGCATACCTCGGGGACATTGCAGATTTGATTCCAGGCCACCGTAAAGTAAGTTGTAGTCTTTTTGCTGATGGAGGGTCTTGCCTTCAATTTGTAAAAAAACATAACATCTGTGGAAAGCAATATATTAAGCAAAGTGCAATGAAACGAGATATGCCTGTAGTAGTAATAATGGTGGTGATGGGTGGTGGTAGTACTGGTAACAGTGGTCGTAGTAAACTTATGTGACGCTTACTCACCCCCGTGTGCCACTCACTGCTCTGAGCACTTTATGTATTTGCAATTTGTTTAATCTTCATCACATTCTATGGAGTAGGTACCACGATAATCTACTTTTTCAGATGTGGAAACTGAGGCATAGAGAGGTTAAATAATTGCTCAGTGTCACACAGCTCATGCATGGCAGGACCGAGATTTGAACCCAGGCTGACTGGCTCAAGTCCATGCTCTTAATCACTAAACTTGGCTGCTTCTATAACAGAGTGCATCCGCCCTTCTTTGAAAAAGGACACTGCTGAGTCCAGCCAGTATTTATTAACCTCCTCCTAGGTGCTAGGCCCTGCACGAGGATGAGGAAACAGAGACAGCTAAGCCAAGGACTTGGTCCCTCGGGCAGCTGGTGGGGGAGACCGAGAATTGCAGTAAAATGGAGTGAGCACTGAGGGAGAGTGCATGAGGTGCCCAGTGGGACTTCTTCAGCTCACCTGGCAGGTGCCTTCCACCCTGTTGGCTCTGAGCAGAGACTGACGAGAAACCCTTCTTGGAGGTGACACGTGCCGAGTGCCATCTGTTTCCTCTCCGCAGTCTGTTCGGGAGCCTCCCAGAGGAGCAGGTCCAGGATGCGGACAGCGTGTGGCAGCAGCAGCAGGCTCACCAGCAGCACAGCTGTACCTTGGATGAGTGTTTTCAGTTCTACACGAAGGAGGAGCAGGTCCCGCCATGGGACTGGAAGGGGGCTGGTTGCCTTTTGGTGGGTTGGCCGAGTGCCGTGGTGCCTCACAGTCCTGATGGCTTTCTTTCTAGCTGGCCCAGGACAATGCGTGGAAGTGCCCCCACTGCAAAGTCCTCCAGCAGGGCACGGTGAAGCTGAGTCTGTGGACCCTGCCCGATATACTCATCATCCACTTCAAAAGGTTCTGTCAAGTGGGCGAGAGAAGAAACAAGCTCTTCACGCTGGTGAAGTTTCCACTCTGCGGCCTCAACATGGCTCCCCATGTGGCCCAGAGAAACGCTGGTCCCAAGCCGGGGCCAGGCCCCTGGCCTTCCTGGAAGCAGCCGGCCTGCTTGCCTACCAGCTACCCGCTGGACTTCCTGTACGACTTGTATGCTGTCTGCAACCACCACGGCAGTCTGCAAGGTGGGCATTACACAGGTGAGCTTTGCCTCTCGGCCTGTGGCTGCCCTGGCCGCGTGTCGTGGCTGTGACCTGGGCTTCAGGATGCCTGGTGTTCCTGGAACGGACGCTGAGCTCACCTGGGCACTCGGCATGAGCTGTGACCCCTCACCCACTGCACACCGGGAACCTGCCAGAGGGTGGGGTGCCTGGTCCAAGCCGTGGACTTGAGCTAGGTTGGTGGTCGGAATACAAAGTTAGTTACAGCCTGAATTTTTGACTATATCAAATATGTCCTCATGTATGCTCATCTGTGATTCAACACAGACTCTTATCAGATCTGAACTCTTACTTACACATTTTTTATGTCTATGGGGTACATTTAATTATTATCCCTCAGGATCTTGAGAGAAATCAATAACTGGAAGGACAGAAACAAATACCTGGGGACTTGTTCAGTTGGTCATAATCGTATACCTTGGTCTATTCTATTCTAGAATAACAAATTATTTCATTTTAAAAATGCTTTAAAATACTTCATGTTTTTGAAAAGTGCAGTTTCTTTCCTTTTTTTTAATATTCCCCTTTTTTTTTTTAAATTGGGGAACAGTGTGTTTTTCCAGGACCTGTCAGCTCCAAGTCAAGTAGTTGTTTCAGTCTAGTTGTGGAGGGCGCAGCTCAGTGGCCCATGCAGGTATCGAACCGGCAACCTTAATGTTATGAGTACTGTGCTCTATCCAACTGAGCTAACCGGTTGCCCCAAAAGTGCACTGTTTCTAGTGTACTAATGTACCTACAATTTGGAAGACACTGGACTGTATAGAAATCCACAGTCGTCACTCATTCATTCATTGGACAAATATTTATTAAGCACTCATTCTGTGCCAGACTCTGCTAGGTGCTGGAGGGAGCTTCAGGGATTGACAAGACAGATACGAGTCCTGCCCTTATGGGACTTCAGTCTAATTTGAGACACAGACAATAAAAAGATGCTGTCACTTTAGCACTTTTCATGACCTGGCATTATGAAAAGGTGATTGATTAATTGTGTCTGTGATAGAGATAAGTCTGTCTGAGGCTGTTCCTTTGAGGTCAAGAGCTGAAAGATGAGGTGGAACTGGCTATGTGAATAATGGGAGGAACAGCATCATGGGCAGAGCTGCTAGCATGTACAAAGGCCCCGAGGCAGAACTTTGGTGTGTTTGAGAACTGATGAAAACCTGTCATGGCTGAAGTGTAGTGATTCTCAGGGGTAAGCTGCAGCTTGATCAGGAGGCACCGTAAGCCATGGACAAGAGTTTATCGTTTTTCCAAAGGGCGGTGGGAAGCCATTAAAAGGTTTTAGATGGAGGAGTAAAGGCATAATGGAGTTTACAAATGGAGGTAGTAGCTCCGCTCTGTGAAAAATGGGTAGAAGGGAACAAGAGTGGAAGTTGTATTTTCAGTTAGGAGGAGGTTTCTGGGGCTCAGGTGAAGACAATCAAGGTATTCAAGACACACTTTTGGAAGCAGAATCAGTAGGCCTGGCTTTTGGACTGGGTGTGGGGTGGGAGGGAAAGGGGAGAGCAGCGATGAACTCCTAGGCGCCTGGCTTCCATTGGTGCAGGAGTCAGAACCTATGGCCTGCGGGCCAAATCCAGTCCAGTACCTGTTTTTATACAGCCCATAAGTTAAGAATGGTTTTTGCATTTTGAAAAGTGATGAAAAAGAACAAGGATATATAGCAGAGACCGTTTGTCACCTGCAAAGCCTAAACTGGTTTCTGTCTAGTCCAGGGGTCGGCAAACTGCGGCTCGCGAGCTACATGTGGCTCTTTGGGTACGTTCCGTCTCAAAAGTTTGCCAACCCCTGGAAGAGCCAATCCTGTCCCTCACAACAATTTAAAAATTATTCGAGAGCCATAAATATATTTTTCCAAATAAGGTAAATTTAGAATAATATTATAAATGAAACTATGGTAGTTTTATTTTCATTTTCAATTTTACTTCAGAGCCGCATGTACGTACCCAAAGAACCGCATGTGGCCCGCGAGCTGCAGTTTGCTGACCCCTGGCAGCTCGTCTGTCTCAAAAGTTTGCCGACCCCTGGTCTAGCCCATTACAGAAAGAGTTGGTTGACTCCAGATTTGTGGGTTACGATACCATTCCCCGAGATGTGGAGGGAAAGGAGAAGACTATTTTGTTTTAATGGTTTGGAAGGTGGTGGTGAGAATCTTAATTTATGAGCAATTTCTTAAATGTGTGACTTCGATTACTAGGTAGGAAAGAAATGTACCCTAATACAGTGGCATATTTTCATTACATAGAAGTAGAGGTGTGCATTGTAAAGCTTCTTAGAAGAAATGGGGTTAACGTGGACATCATTAATCTGGCCAAGTAACTTGGGGCTCCCTTTTATTGGAGATTTTGCCTGAAAAAGGGCTACAGCATAAGGATTCGGCGTCAAGTAGCAGCACACTTTATCAGGGAGTGTAAGTGATTGATCCTTTCTGCACAAAATTCATTTCTGGCCAAAAATGGACCAATTTTTCTCATTCTATTACAAACATGTCCATTTATGAGCTATGCCAGTGGGGCATGTCTTCCTGCTTTTTGGGGTGGTTCCAATAATGGGACTTGGGGTTTGGATCTTTGCAGCCTACTGCCGGAACTCTGTGGATGGCCAGTGGTACAGTTACGACGACAGCACCGTGGACTCGCTCCTGGAAGATGAAGTCATTACCCGAGGGGCTTACATACTGTTTTACCAGAAACGGAACAGCATCCCTTCCTGGTCAGCCAGCAGCTCCATGAGAGGTAGGTGCCGCTGCTCATTACAGGACATGGGGGAATTGGGAAGTCACTTTAAGAACTACGGAGATGCTTAGTCAAACATCAAAGACGAGGAGGAGTAGGCAAGGATCTGAAAGAGGAAGCCTTGGCTGCTGCTAGAGATTTGAACACTACGCTAGAATCCCGTTTCTTTGTTAAGGGTGTGGAGTGGTCATGTTGAAATCCAAGAAAGGGAGAAGGAATACATATTTTGTATCCGTGGCAAGTGATTCTTGGTGGTGTGGAAATTCCATAATCCCAGTCTCACTCATGTCAAGCCAGACTTTAATTAAGGGTGTGGAATATAAACCTGCATTAGTCCTGCTGGAAAGGGAAGGGCATTTACGAGGGTTGCAGGGCCTTCATAGGAAATGGAACCGGTTATCCACTTCCCAGTGATATGTTTATTAGATAAGCTCAAATTTGCATGGAAGTCTGGAGGAAAATAAGGATTAAAGTTGACCTTTTTATGTGACCTATTTTGCTCTGCAAACTAGCCATCTTTTTCTTTGGGATGAAAGAGCATTTCTTTTTAAATTACTCAGATTTGCTCTCCAACAATTGTTGGAAAATGGCCAAATAAAACCCAAAGGCACCAGTAGGTCTAAATCAACACTAATGCAAAGTCTGCCTGCCTTTTATAGAAGATAGATTTAGAAAGAATGAAAAACGTACAATATTTAGAAAACTGGAGTTGGTGACAAGCAATTTCATGAAAAGCATTTCAATACTTATCAACGTATTTTCCTGTCTGTGCCCAAATGCCTTTCCCTAAATGTCTCGGCTTGGTTCCATGGTGACTCAATTGCAGGGTTCTCCCCTGGTCCTTAACTTCTGTGTGTGTAATTCCATCCTGGTTCTGTAGTTCCAGGGCTCGGGGATGGCACTCTGGCCCCCAAAGGTTCCTGGGGGATCCCGAAGGGATGGAGGTGGCTCCAGCCTTTCCTCTCGGTGCTTCCTCCGCAGGTTCCACCAGCTCCTCCTTATCTGATCACTGGCTCATGAGGCTCGGGAGCAATAATGGCAGCATGAGGGGGAACCTGTGGTCTTGGAGCTCTTCTCCCAGCCCCTCCCGGCCCCAGGTGCCCTACCCACCTGTTTTCACAAAGAACCGCTCCAGGAAGGAAGAAGGTATGTTTTATCACGTTGGTTAAATTGGCTGATTTCATTTCCATTTTCTATAAGGACCCTTACTCCTCATCTTTATGAAAGTGCTGGCATTTCACGGCCTTGAGTGGTTTACGAGAGGTTTATTCATCTCTCAAATCGGGTTTTCCATGACCTAGTCCTCACCTGCCTGTCCTCCCCGTCCACTCCAGTGGCAGGTGCCTTCTTTCTCTGCTCCGTAGAGCTTGCAGTCTAATGGGGAAGACCAAACGTAAACAAGAGAACAATGACATGGATATAAAGCAAGGATAAGGGCAAAAAGGAAAATCATCATCGAAGAAGATATGTAGGCCAGGGTGGGGGAGAAGGGTGCAGCGGCACCCTCGTTAGATAGGGTGGATGGGAAGGCCTTTCTGGAGAGGGAGAGAGAAAGGGAGAGGGAGAGAGAGGAGGGGTCTGTTGACTGCTATTGTCAATTACAAAAAGCAAAATCAGGGATTTGGAGAAGAAAGCCTGATGGGTGGGACATGGAGAACCACCTTCTTTCCGTGGGTTCGCAGATAGGCTTGAATCAATGGCAGATTGTTGGCCTAGTCTGACCTAGAGGAGTTTCCCTACAGCATCAGGGGAAGCACCTTGAGCCATTGGAGATTTATGGATTCTTGTGTTATTTGTGGATTCTCCAAAAATCCATGCTAGTTTTAGTTTGAAGCATACATGATGGATTCGCTCTGAAACGTCTGCATTTAATGCATTATGGTCTGACTCGCCTTCCCATGGCGTCTCCACCTGGGTGGCTGCACCACTTACCTCATCAGGGGGCGGGGATGCTCAGTGTCCTGCCATTCCCAGTTCCCAGGGATGGTGCCGTTTGGTATGGAATTGACCCTCCCAAGGGCCAGCTGTCCTCTGTAGAGACACTACACTGAGAGCTTGGGAACTTCATTTTTCCAGTAGCTCTGGTTATGGAACATTATAATAATAAAGGCATTTTAAACTAAAATGAATAGATTGCAGTTGTGTCAGGACTGCTGCACCTTATATAACTGAGGACAGGTGTTGGGAGAGGCTGTACAAGAAAAAAGATACAAAGACACCTTACTTTTGCAACTTTAATAAAAACATGATCGTGTGGAACAATTGCTGGGGTTCTTCTCAGAAGCCCCCTGGAGTAAGGGCCCTGAGACTTAAGCTTCCTCAGGTTTTCAGTAGTATAGGTGCTCCGATGATAAATTTCTTTTATGGTTTTTTGGGGCCTCAGAGATTTTGTTTTTTTGCTCTTTCAGTGCTTTCCAGATAGTATGTTATTTCAGTTCTGATTTCTTCTTTGATCTAAAGGTTATCTGGGAGTTTCAAGTATTTTAAGATTTTTTGGTCACCTTTTTTTAGCCTTTATTGCTAATTTTGTGGATTGGGATCCAAGAATGTGGCTTTCAGACATTCTCTTTTTGTGATTAAGTACATGAGTAGTATTTTATAAATGTTCTGTGTACATATAAAATAATGTACATTGTCTATTTGAGGGATGTGAACTTTATATCACTACTATAAATTAGGTGAGTTGATTGTATTCAATCCCCCTCTCTCTTTAAATTGACCTTATCTAGGACTGCCTGGCTAGGAAGGAGCTATATAGACACCTTTCTGTGTAGCTGTACTTTTAATCAAGTACTCCAGGAACTGTAATCATTTTTGTTTTATATTGTTAGCTGCTTTGTTAATAGATGTCTGTAAGCTGATGACTATTCGATATAATTTATAAATTGTCTTTTCTCATTATAATGTTGCTCTTTATCCTGCTTAATGCTTTTAATCTTCAATTCGACCTTGTTCAAGGTTAGTAATTTCAACCCCTTCCTCCTTTCTTTTTGTTTGCATTTGCCTGATATCATTTTGCCCTTCTCTTTTGCTTTTCGAGTCTTTCTTCTAGAATTAGTTTTAAGTGGTTTTTGGTAAACAGTATGTTGCTTTTTTTTTAATGTCAAAAACTCAGAGCGTATCTGACAATGGGAGAGTTCAGCCTATTCATACTTAATGTATCAACTACAAAATCTGATTTCATTAAAATTTTTTTCTATTGTTTTTCTTTTTTCTTATTTTTACTGATCTGATCATGTTGCTGTTTGTTCCCTCTTTGTCCCCCTTGTTCACTTGAAAATTCTGCTGTCCTTTTCCGTCTTGCTAATTGTTTTATCTTTCCCCTTATTTATAATCAAATGCGTTTTCTTACTATTGTGTGGATATGAGAAGCGACTATTTCCTGTAAGTCGTTCTGTTTCCTCACTGCCGTCTCTCCTCCCCTCAGTAAGATGAGCCTACATCATGCTTCCTTGTCGTTCCTCTCCAGATGGGAGCTTTGAAACGCTCTTGTGTTCCCTGTGGTTTGTTTTAGGAGCTCACCCTCATCTAATCCCCAGCTCTTAGATTTTTCTGAGGTAGTTAATACTCTTCCAGACCGTAATTCTAATTCTTCTTGCAACCCTTTTCCTGTCTCAAGCACACTCACTTAGTTTTGTGTCCACAGTCTACGACCATTTGTCCCCCGCGCGGGTGGATGGTACATGGATCGCAGGGTCCACTGAACGCCACTGTCTGTCTTCTTTCCGTCGCCCTCTCTTCTGAGGTCTCAGCTCTGATTCAGGAGTGTTTGGTCAGAGTTCCTTTCTGGTATGTGTGTTATGTCCTCTAACTCTTTGCATAGCCACAAATATTTTCTTTCACTGGGAGTGAATGGCAGCTTGGCTGGTCGGAGGACTCTTGGGTTGCAATCCTTTTCTCTCAGGCCTCTCTCAGATGTTTTCCCACAGTCTCCCAGGCCTCAGGGTGCAGATGAGAAGCCCATTCTTTTTCACATGAGAATCACTTGTTCTTTCTGGCCGGAAGCTTTTGAGATTCTGTCTCTGACACTGGAGTTTAGAAATTCTGCCAGGATATGCCTAGGTATGTGTTTTGTTCATCAGCCCTACCTAAAACTCGGGGAGGCCTTTCTTTCTACAGATGCAGGCGTTTCATAAGGGAAATGTTCTTTTTTTGTTTAATTATTGTCTTAACCTACTTTTAAAATTCCTATTATTTGCTTAGTGGGTCTTCTGGATTTGTCCTCTATGTCTCCTAGCTTTTCCCTGTGATTTCTACCTCTTTGTCATTTTGCTCTATGGTGTGAGACATCGCTTTCACGATTATGGAATTTTCATAACTTTCAAGCCACTCACTTGAGTCTCAGCAGTGACCTTGGATGCCTTCACGTCATTTACTGAATTTAAAAACCTGAAAGTTATATTTTTTCAGTTCCCTGTTGTTTTATATTTGAATCTCCTTGAGAGCTTTGATTTTAAGTTGTTTGTTTCTTCCGGTGGCTCTATTTCATTACGGGGCTGTTCTGATGGTTGCATATTCTTATCCTTTGATCGGTAGACCCTCTTACGTGTATTGTGATTTTTCCGTTTCTGCCCAGTGGGGCTCCCCTCTACCCTCTTTTGAGTTGTGGTGATTCTTAGAGTGGTGGAAGGGGCAGTGGCCTTGGCTTTTGAGGCAGCCTTTCTCCTCACCAGCCTCATCCCGCTGGCTCACTCTCAGAGGTGGAGAAGGCTCTGCTCATCTGTGTGGTTTCGCCTTACCTTCTTGGGGACCAGAGAAATGTTTTGGGGTCAGACTTGCCCCAGGTTGCTGCACTCTGCAACCAGAGACAGAGATGTCTCCAAATACAGATTGGGGTTCAAGAAGGTGACGATCCCTACTGGAGACCCTTTTCTTCCTTGGTTCAACCATGGTGTTCTCTTTGCTGCTTCCTTGACCCACCAAGCTTACCTGTGCCTCAGGGCCTTTGCACTTGCTGCTCCCTCCTCCTGGAGGCTGTTTTCCCCAGATCTCCATGTGACTTCCTCCCTCTCTTACTTAGGTCTCTCCTCTCTCATCACTTGCTGACCACCCTGTATTTCCCCCCCCCACCCCCATTCTTCCTCATAACTCTTATCATTCCATCCCATGATATTATATATTTTTGGTTTTTGTCAAACCCCATAACAGACAAATACTTTGTACTTTTTATACTACTGTATCCCCAGCACTGAAAACTGTCCTTGGTACACAGTAGGCTCCTATTAAATGTTTACTGAATGCATAGGTGACAACCCTTGGAGAGACTGGGAGAGACTGAAAGCGCTGGATGAGGAAAAGTCTTGTCCTGTGGCAGGTGGGCTAAGGACGGTGAAGAGAGGCCCCTGCCCTGCCCCCTGCTCACAGCGCACATTGTGAGGTCGGATGCATGCCCGATTTCATTAGCTGAGGATAAAAAGTCACGTAGGAATAGACGTGGCATTTCTCACGGCAGGTTCTGCTGGCTCCAGAGCCACTGTGTGGGCGGGGCTGCGGGTAGGGGCTGTACCCACCAGTGGTACAGGCACCATCAGGGTGACGAGGCTTCTTGTGGACTTGGGGGGCTTGTTATGTATGCTCTGGGGCTCATTGGACCTTCAGGAAGAACTTA